ATCTGTTGTTCCACGGTGCTCATGCTCCGCCCCTGCAGAAGCTTCGGAGTTCTATCCTGCATGCTAATCATTGCAGGAGGATTCGGGGCCTTTAAGACTCCAAGACGCCCAGTGGCAGAACATGTGTTTGAACACTCCCACCCCCACACACATTTTTCTAACTGCATGGGATCAGTTTTTACCCACCATGGTAAGAGAGGGCTCTGAGGGTTGCGGGTTACTTTATCCCTACAATATAAAGCATTGTTAATAAAGTTCTGATTTAGTGTGATTGTGTCTGTCCTGCAAAAAAAAACTTTCTTTCCTTGCAACTGCAGCTGACCTGCTCTTGGTAATAAAGAAAGTGAATACAGAAAGTAAATAGATTTTCTTTGGTTGATCCTCCACTCTGTAGGTGCAAGATTTTCCAACCTTAGGGGCCATCATGACTGGAGTGCAAAGCTCCAGACATTTATGAGGTGGCAGGAAAGAGTTATGGGGAAATAACTCTTGGCTGCCATCTAGTGGCCGCCGGGATTTTGCAGCCCAGTTTCTTATTCCAACTTAACTGGAATCTGACCTCTCTCTCAAGGACAGTGAGTACTGGTCTTCCTTCGCCTCGCTCCCATCTCCTGAACCCCTGAGGCTGCCATCCTTTCGCTGGGTAGCGGCTTCGCTGCCTTCGCTCCGCCGGCCAGTGGAGGGCGACATGCACTCCCGACCCGGTCCATTCGGGCGGTGCACGAAAGGCGCGGCTTCCGGCCGCTCGTTTTCTGACGCCTTCCTCCCAGTCGCCTTCAGGCTTTGCCTACGGCCGCCGCCGCCGCCGCGGAGTAGGCCTGGGATGCCAAGATGGCGGCGGCGGTGGTGTCGGTCTTCCCGGGTGTGCGGCTCCTGACCATCGGCGATGCCAACGGCGAAATCCAGCGGCACCAAGAGCAGCAGGCGCTGCGTCTCGAGGCCCGCACCGGGCCTGACGCCGCTTGCCTCGCTCTGTATAGCCGTGAGTGGTGAAATGGGGCTGGGCGGGCGGACTCGCTGACTAGCGGGCCGGTGGGGGCCTAGCCGCGTGAAAAGGGAGGGACGAATGAATGAATGAATGAATGAGTGAGTGAACGGA